TATCTCCTTTTGTCAACTGGTACTTGATTAGGCTCAATAGAAAGCTTCAATCCTTCCTCTAATGGTGCAGCGATTAGCTGACAAGTTGGCATGCCAGTTTCGTGCAACGAATCAATAATATACTTCCTCTGTGACAAGAAAATTCCAGAACTACTTCTCAATACCTCAATCCTTAAAAAATATTTTAGGGATCCAAGATCTTTCATCTCAAATTCCGTAGACAAGTATCTTTGCAAGGCCATACGTTCTTCCGGATCATTCCCTGTTACCACCATATCGTCTACATACATAATAAGTGCAGTCAACTTTCCATTTCTTCTTTTCAAAATAGAGTATGATCAGAGTTACTTTGCTTGTACCCAAACGCTCTCATAGATTTTGTGAATCTTCCAAACCATGCTCGAGGGGAATGCTTCAAACCATATAAGAATTTCTTTAACCTGTAAACCTTTCTTTTGTATTTATCTAGAGCATTACATCCTAGTGGAAGATCCATATAAATCTCTTCTATCAAATCTTCATACAAGAAGACATTCTTCACATCGAACTGCTGTAAGGACCAATTAAGATTTGCAGCCAAAGACAACAAGACACGGACCGTGTTGATTTTGGCCACATGAGCAAAAGTATCCATATAATTGATTCCATATTTTTGAGTGTACCCTTTTGCTACCAGTCTTGCCTTGAAGCGATCGACCGTCCAATCGGCTTTATACTTCACAGTATAAGCCCATTTACATCCCACAGGTTTCTTGCCAGCTGGCAAGTCAGTGATCTCCTAGGTAGCATTCTTATTCAAATACTTCAATTCTTCATTCATTGCTGCTTGCCAATGTGGATCAGCTAAAGCCTCATGCACACTGTTAGGAATAGATATAGTAGATAATTGATGCACAAATGACTTGTTTGATTCTGACAAGTAACTGGTAGACACATAATTGCTTAACGGGTATAACACATTAGGCTCAGGTTGGGTTTATTCACTGAATATCTAGTATTGCATTTAGGGTCAGCTTCATAAGTAAGTTTAGGAATACCTCGAGTGACACGGTTTGGGAGACAACGTGGTGATGGTGCATCTGGGATCGAAGATGATTGGTTATGGTCATTAGGGCTTAAGAGTGGCGAGACTGACTGTGAGATAGCATGCGGCACTGGATTATCCAGTGGTGAGGAAGGCAATGAGTTGTCTTGTGGTGTCGGCTCGTCATTTGCAAGGTTTTCAGCATCGTTTTCATGTGAATGATTTCCACTTGTTTCTAAGACATTACCACTTAATTCCACGTCATTCACATCACTATTTTCATGTGAATGATCACCACTTGTCTCCAAAACATTACCACTTAATTCCACATTATTCACAATATATGTACCCGAAATTATATAATCAAGAGTTTGAACTTCTATCTGATTCTCCCCCTGAAGTGAAGACTTTGGATTGGCAAAGTACATCTCATGCTCATGAAATGCAACATCTATAGTAACAGACAACTTTTTTGTTGGAGGGTGATAACATCGATATCCTTTTTTACTGGAGGCATATCCTACAAACACACACCGTAAGGCTCGAGGTTCAAGCTTACTCCTCTGCTGTTTGTGGAGATGAACAAATGCCACACAGCCAAACATGTGAGGTGAAAGATTGGGGATTGCAGAAGCATCAACATGTGAAGAGAGAGCTTGAAGTGGTGTTTGAAAATCAATTAATCGAGATGGAACACGATTAATAAGATACGCAGCTGAAGTGAGAGCTTCTCCCCAATAGGATAATGGGAGACACACCTTGAGCAAGGAAGCACGAACAACCTCCAGAAGTTGACGGTTCTTGCGGCCTACAACTCCATTTTGGTGTGGAGTATATGGGCATATAGTTTGATGAACAATACCATGATGATCAAGAAATGCACGAAGTTCAGAGTTCACATACTCACCACCATTATCACTCATAAGAACCTGTATTTGTGACTTATATTGTACTTGCACCATTTTGTGAAATCGTTGAAATAAAGAAGGAACTCTACTTTTGGACTTCAATAAACAGACCCAAGTCATACGTGTGTAATCATCAATAAAAGTAACGAACTAATGAGCACCACCCAATGTAGCAGTTTTAGAGGGCCTCCACACATCAGAATGAATTATCATAAATGGAACTGAACTTTGACACAAATTGGACAAAAACGAGGTACGATGACTTTTAGCCAATTCACAAACACCACATTTAAAGCTAGGCACTAGAGCCTACTTTGTTTTTAACCTAGGCTCTAGTGCCAAGAAGAGAATGCTTTTGGAATAGTATTGTGTTTCTATTCATCTCTCAAGGAGGAATTTATAGTATGTTACAATCATATCAATAAGGAAAGAAATAATTACATGAAATCATACTATGCTAAGAATCCCAAGATTGTAGAAATATACACAAAAGTCAATACAAAGGAGGTGCGGCCATTGTACGACCAATATTGGACAGAAATTCCAGTAATTTTTTCAGAATTGATGAGAAATGGAGCTTTGGGATTCACACCTGTTTAGGTTCCATGAACCCTAGAATTTGGTAGAGAGGATTTGGGAGGGAGGGAGAAGATGAAAAGTTCCCGCTAAGTGAGAAATAAATAACTCCGGTGGTTATTATTCTCTAAATAAGATTAACTAATGAACGTAACAACAAGTGGATCCGTGGCGCAATGGTAGCGCGTCTGACTCCAGATCAGAAGGTTGCGTGTTCGATTCACGTCGGGTTCAATCCCCGCTTGTTAATTTTTTTGTTTCTTTATAACGAATTCATATTCTAAATAACTCTGATTATTTCCCCAAATTTCGAATCCAAGGCGAATGATAAAAATAAATAACTAAGCAGACGATCAAACCGTGAATTCAATAGAAGAAGATTTCTCCTAATCGCCTTACAGGAATTTTTTTCATATATATACAGAAGAAACAGGTCCAATCCAAAACATCTAAACCTTCAACTTGTTTGGTTTCAGCCAAACACAATAATCTATTTCTTGAACTTTAAGAAACCGAATGAGTTGCTTTAGTCAGGGATGAAGAAATCAAATTTGACATCAACAGAGCCTGAACTGTCTCCAGTATCTTTGTACTCGATATTTGTTATCGACCCAGTCTCGTCTCCAATCTGGTATTCTGGCTTAACCCGTCTTACAGGTACAGTGACGGAGTAAATGGTTCCCACATCAGTATCGGCTGACACACTCAGCTGAACTTTGTCTCGCGATTCTATCTCAACGAAATCTGATAGAGCGTGCACAATGTTGTTGACGATCAATCTTTTAGCCTCATCACTAACTGCGCATCTGTCAGAGAACAGGATCATCTTCAACCGCTGCTTGGCAATGTTAGCATTTGAGCTCCTCCTAGATGCTGGAGATGGGAATAGTATCTTCCAAGCCAAGTTTAAACGGTCAAAGAAACTCATGTTGATGGCGTTGAGGAGGAAGCTCTCGGAATCTTGGCTACTTGAGTTCGATGACAATTGAAAATCTCCAGATAACCGCTTGGAATTTTGACGAATGTTACGTCTATCAAATGACATACTGGGCCATTTTGGCGTAATCTCAGAAATGCAAGACCCTCCATTTGGAAAGCTAGCAAAGTCTACCTATAACACAGCACAAAACTTGAAAGTTGAGCAGGGACGTAGGGGAAGACATTTCCATATCTCATTAAACCATCTTATGTAGCTCGACAATTAGGTGCAAATGAAGATTTCAACTTCTATTTAGGTAGGTTTTCAAGAACAAAACGATAGTGATAATTTCTTTCCCTTCATGAAGAAGGAAAAACGTTAGGGACGCCTCAGTCCAACTGCAACCATACAGATCACAGAAGGTAACCGGCCATAAACAAAAGTAGCACTTCAATTTAACATTGAGTTCAGAAAAATACCTTATACTACTCTGCATACAAACACCATGGAAGATCACAAAGATGGACAAAGAGTGATGCATTATATGAAATCATAGCTCAATAGACAACTATCATACCCTCAATCACCCAGACGACATCACTTAACTACTAAGAAGAAACACACGAATCTAGAATCGGCCACCCAGACGACAAACGCAATTCAACATGACAGCAAAGCAAGTGAACAAAACAAGAAAGTATTTCCAATAAAATCTGACACCATGGTCATCACTATGACTCTGACAACAAATCGACAATAACTATGCGAAAAACCCTTTCAGTTAACTGTGTGTTATTAATGTTGCATACTTCTTCAGCTTCAGATCGACACCTTTAAGCGGAATCGGAGATGAAATACAACAAGTAAGACTCTAAAGGACCCTCAACCAAGTCATCATTCTCCTTTCAGCTATCAGTCCAAGCTCCAAGGGTTAAAGCCCTCAGTTAAATGGGCATAAATGACTAAATTGCACCATATCCTTCCAACTTAAGCTTGCAAATTAACTGGTAGTTTAACAAATTCGATACAATCATTCAAATTTTCCTTCCTAAACAGAATAAGAAATCTACCATAAAAATTCACAAAATTCTCCGCCAAGGGACGAGAAAAATAATAGTATCACGCTTGACCTCAATCAAAACCCAAATTCTCAGTTCATTTCTCTCATTTTCCCGGGAAACAAACAGCCCAGAAATCCAAATTCGAGGAAATGCACGAAACCCAGACAAAAAACAAAATATGAGAATTTAACCAAAAAAGAAGGAGTTCGGACCTTTGAATTGGGCCGAAGGGTTCGGATAGAGTGCGTCGAGTGAGAATTCAGCGTAGCCGAGACACTCAGATCCCCCAAAATCGCCATTTTTCTTCTTCCTCCTCAGTCTCTCTGCTCCTCAGAAATGCTTACTCCTCGCGCTTTTGGTTTCCTCAAAGGGACTGGCTTTCTCAGCCGTCCAAGGGTTCAGGTTGTCACTGGCTAGTCCAACATAAAACTACACGTCGTTTGTTCTCGGGTTCAAACGACATGTCGATTTACGAAAAGTTGGAAGAGGAGCAAAAACATACAACTACCAAAACTAGTGCTTCGTTCACTTGGAAGACGGCGGCGAAATTATAACTTCCCAAAACCTTGAAGCTTTCAGTGAATGGGGAGGTGGAGAGCCGCTGCTTCTCTTCTCCTCAGCCGCGTAGCCGCCGCCGGAGCTTCTAAATCATCCGTTCCCGCCAAGCCTCCTTTCCATATACACTGCCCTTCAGCCTCCACCTCCTTCCACTTCCGCTTCCTCAATTCACGACCTTTCTCTGCAATCCCGTCTCGGATTTCCTTTGAAGCCAATGATTACGACTCTGAGCCGCCCTGCTACGCTCGGAGTCAGAGCCAAGCTAAGGACGACGAAGAAACGGGAAAAATACCTATTAAAGCCTACTTCCTTTGTACCAGGTTAGCCGTCATAGTTCTTAATTTTGCGAATCCTCGTCTGGGGTTTGATTGTTTTTGTCATATGTTTATGTGGGTCTGTCTCCATTTGTGTTTTTAGTTTGATATAGGCTCGTATTGTTTCTTCAAGCTGATAACTTTCATTAAAGAACATTGCTTTAAGGTTTTGTTTTGCACATTCTGACCATTTACTGCTGTTTCAATGCTCCTATGATTTTCATTTTCTTATGTTTGATCTGGGATTTTGATTTTTGTTTCGGGGTCTGTCGTGGTTTTTGTACTGGGTCAGTTCCCTTTTCCGTAGTCTCTCTCACTTTCTCAGTTGTTTCCGGCTATGTTCTTTATGATTTGGCTTTCTCAGATTCATGGTTTTCGCAGTATCAATTTGAAGAGCATGCAAGCCGAGAATTTAATCAATGTCATTCCTCCTTCTTCTCGCTCATCGAATTACATTGCCCTCAGATTTTGCGATTTCCCTTCAGAAAATTCTGTAAGATGATGATTCATTGAACAATTTGATACTTAGCTCGGTTGAAGTTCTTGTTGTGATTAAATTTCCTTCTTGAGACTATTCTGCTGCATGATATACATACGGAAATCATTTGTGGACATTAAATTTGCGTTGCGGGAGTGCAATGCATCCATTTTCTTCTGTTGGCAATAATAAAAGGGAATTTAGACTGAACCTGGTAGCGCTTTTTCCAACTGGTACAAGCATATTGTCTCGAGTGTTGAAACTGATGCTTGACTTTGCATAGTTCATTAAGCTATTTTCTTCATTTACTTTTTGGGGTAGGCCATGTATGTATTGAGTGATTGATGTCTGGTTGACTACTTTCGAGTGAGGACATCATAATCATATTTATACCCGGGGTCATACCTGGCTTATATAGAGGAACAAGTGCACTTTTTCGAGTGAAGACATCATCTCCAAAGCTACAAGTCTGCTTTTCTTTTTCAGTAATAGGCTAATAGCGATATGATAATCCTTTCATTATCTTGCTGCTTTCTTTTAGGAATTTGGAGTCTGGCGTTATATGGTCGTATTCCAGTATGGATCTGCTGTTCTGTTTAATGTTGAGGATCGTGAAGTTGATGGTTATCTGGATCTAGTTACAAGACATGCTTCTGGATTACTTCCAGAGATGAGAAAAGACGGTAAATTTATTGAAGATAACCATATTTCATTTGATTGCTCAATGTGATCTTACACTTCATTTGAGTTCAACAGCATCGAATCATCAAATGCTAATTTTTTTTAGATATTAGTGTATTCTTCTGAAATAGAAAGGCTGAAGATATTTTGAATTATTACGATAATTAATTTGCCATTTGGCTTTCTGTGTGTGCATGCATTAGATTATGCTGTAAAAGAAAAGCCACAGCTGGATGAGGACATGCAGGGTGGCCCAGACTACATAGTTCTTAAGACTTTGGACACTGATTCTATTCGCATTATTGGCAGTGTGCTTGGCCAAAGTATTGCTTTAGATTATTTTGTTTCGCAGGTAATTCTTAACCAGGATTCAATTTTGTGTGAAAAGATTTCTCTGTGATGGTATCTTACGTCTTTTGTAAATCAACATTGCTGCATTTCAAATTTCTGGAGAACCTTCTGTATTAGATTAAGAGAATCTAAATCTTTCTCTATCCTCTCCAACCCCGCGGTTGCACGGGTCTCTCTTTCTAGGTTGATGGTATGGTTGAAGAGTTTGCAGATATAAATCGTGGAATGGAGAAAACTGGAACATTCACAATGCACAAAAAGAAGCTCCTTCAACTTGTTGGAAAGGCAAACTCAAACTTAGCCGATGTAATTCTTAAAGTTGGTCTTTTTGAGAGGTAATGCCATTGTGCTTTCTTTGGTTGTTTGTAGCGATATTTCAAGATCAGTAGTATTGCATTTAAAGTTAGTCCTTCTGTATACTGGATGATCTAGATTTCTCACAGACCCTGAATATTGCATTTCAACCTTAAACTGTAATTTTCAACTTCCCCCCTTTCGTGGATTAGAAATCTTGGTACCAACTTATTGTGAAATTCAGAAAATAAGCAACGACTTGGCTGAGCTAAGATCAGATTGAACTGCATTTTGGTACCACCAGTTGCCATCTTTGTTTATCTGGAATTGCTTCTAGTGCTTGAATATATCAGTTTGGTTCATAATATGCATTGCAGCTTTTAGGATTTATTTTGTTCTTTATCCATCAGATCAGAAATTGCTTGGAGGGATGCAAAGTACGCTCAAATACATGAGTACCTTCGGGAGGAGTACGAGGTTACACAACGCTTTGGAAACTTGGATTTCAAGTTAAAGTTTGTAGAGGTAGTTTTGTCCTTGTAATTATGGATTCATCTTTGTTCTTAAATCATGGAGACTTAATTACCTCATCCCGTCTCAGTTGACTAGAAAGAGAATATAATTGAAATTTATTTCTTGAAAAAAAACATATAAATGGACAAGTTACTTATAAAAAGTTAGGTTGTATGTTGCCGGCGTAGATATTATCTTTTTCAATACATTCACATTTTCTTCGAAACTAAACCATTCTTTCTTTACAGCACAACATTCATTTCTTGCAAGAAGTCCTTCAAAACAGAAAGTCGGATCTTCTGGAATGGTGCATCATCTTCCTGTTGAGCATAGAAAACATAATATCACTATACGAGATTGTTCGTGATTCAGCTGCAGCTTAACATTATATCACTACACGAGATTGTTCGTGATTCAGCTGCAACATCTCTGTGATCTCGGAAGCAGATGAGAAAAGTTGCAGCAGCCAAAGTTACCGTAGGAAATTAATTTTGTCAACAGAGAAAGTGATTTTTTTATGGATATTCTTTCACTGTAAAAAAAAAATTCTGTGATTCCTTTCTAATTAAATTGCAATTTCAGTACACATCCCGACTCATCTTTTACGTGCCTTTACGTAGAAAGTTCATTTTTACTGAACCATATGCCTTAAACAGAATGCACATCAAATAGAAAGAAAGAAAAAGAAGGAAGCAACTGATTTGCATTATCCATCCAATAGACAAAATGTGAGATTTTTTTCAGGTCATCTTCCCACTAACGGCAATAGAAACGCCGATGTTACTCTAAGCTCTTAATTTTTCTACACTCACAGAGTCACGTGATGTTATGTAAACATCCTTTGGTCTCGACTTCTTGACGCCGGCTATAAACCACACGTCATCGGACTTAGAACTTTCAACTATTACACAAGTGACCGTAACCCATACTAGAACCTTTGTCTTCATTCCCTCTAATCCCTGTGAGCTTTCCCCTCAAAAGAATCGCCTTTACCCGTTTTTGCATACCTCATAACAGAAGAATCCTTGAATCTAACTTCACGTGTGGCAAAATATCTATTACCACGAGGACCATTTATCCGATTAAGCCTCATTCTTTCTTTCTTATTTTCCTTTGTTTTCTTCCCCTTTTGGATGCTAAAGGTTCTTCTGCACATGGTGGGAATCACAAATCGCGTAATTTTCAGGCCATTTGATTGACGACAACTTTGAACATATGTAGGGTATTCCTTCAAATCCTAGTTTGGGGAACGAGGTCGGGCCAAAACTCACAGAGCATATATCGTTACGTGTCTATCTCTCTTCTCACATGATTAAAACGTAGTTTCATATCCAAAGACTAATTCAGTAATCTAAGGCAAATGAATGGCATGGACGAATAGATTAAAAGGTCTACTAAATAACAACTTGACTTGTAAACAATGAGAAGACAATTCACATACATCCGTATTAAATAAAAGATAGTGTTATTCACACACCCAAATTATCTCTCACACACCCTTGTTAATTTTTTTTGCCATTGATATTCTTCAATTCATTAAATCGTACAGCCAATTGAGAGGGATGTGTGAGAAGTAAAAATAAGTGTGTGGATAGCACAACCCTAAATAAATTGAACAAAAACAAATCATGGATTTTCACTTTAATCCAATCTTCTCAAGAGGTATTCAATCTCAACTTGCTTTGTGAGAGGTATGATCCAATCTCCATAGAGACTGGCAACTAAATGTGGCTTGATTTGGTATACAGGGTTAGCTGCATCATCTTCCCCTTCGTCGATTTTAACCTCCTGCCCGTATCGTTTTGTCTTCATCTCCACTCTCCTCTTGATCGCTGCTTCCACTGTTTCGAATGTCAGCAACACCATCAGTTGATTCCTGTCCTGCAAGAACCACACATCGGCACAAGAAAAAGACGCCGTCAATATATGAGATAATGAACCATCAAGCAATGCCATGATGAGGGCACACTTAGAAGAGGAAGCTTACTTGTGCTCTAATGGCAGCCTCGTATTCTGCAGGGGATTGACGGAATTTTGCCTCTGCCACGAATTTCCCATAGTGGATTCTCTTCGAAAGCGCCTGCAACAAACATCCAACATCGGAGGGGAATTTGATAAAAGGGTACACTAAAAGGATTGATGTAGAATCTAACACAACAACGCAAAGTCTTAAGAACAACAGTAGGGAACAAAAACATCGAAAATGCATCCTAAACTACTGTCCCAAACTCAAAATTTCAAAAACCGGTTCGCAAGAGCAGAATTCAATGAACTCATGAGGAGGCAAAGGTTCCATATGTCATGGACAAGGCTAGGAGAAAACGTTAAACTGCGACGCTTCTTCTTTTTTATATTTGGGTTTGGAGAGTTGAGAAGCCTTTCATTGAAAGGCTGAAAGGCACCAGAGGCAATATAAACGAAAGGCCAAACTAGAAGGCCCAAGGCAGACGCCACAAACTAAACAACCAGACAGGAGACGAAACAGAAAAACAAATAAAACAATCCTCTCAACTATAATACGACACTTAATTACCTAAACTAGTATAATGTGACAACTTAATAGTCTATTATTTGTGTTTGTCATAATTTCTGGACCGTTACGTGAGAATCGTGAACTTCTGTAAATTCAGTTGATAGTGGTTTACCTGCAAACAAAGTGTGTCACAAACAGCATCTGATCCACAATTACCGTTGCGTCCTGCCTTGACTAATCTGGGAAGGAGATCTCTAAAGTACATATTCCAAACCTTATTGTTTATATTAATCGAATCGGCATACGGATGCAAAACCTAGTTTCATTATCAGAGAAAATGCCAAATCAGGTCAGAAATCACTTCAAAAGCATACACTAAAACAAGCCAAATTATGCAAGTAAATTTATAAAGATACAGAACAAGGGTAAATTATCATGCTGTGTATTAGAATTTACCTGTGGATACTGCAAAGGAGGAAGCATTGGCTCAGGTAAGTGTGCTGGGAAGAAAGGATGTTCGTCAGGGCTCTTGTATCTCCCCGCCTGGCATGCGAAAATGAAGGGCAGTTAAGAAAATCTCCGGCATCATTAATAATAGGATCGTAGTAGTTATATTAATCTTTTTTATCTTACTTAGATTACCTGGGCATGGAGTTTTTCAGTTTCCCTGACCATAAACTCAACCAGTGAACCACGAAATCCTTCCATCGAGAAGGTGTCATGGTCATACGTGTCTGCATTATAACAGTACTGAGCCCGCTCCAGAAGGCTAAATATTATGCTATCCTCTTGTCGAATTAAAGAGTGCCTTATACTGTCCAGAGTTAAGATTTCGCTCTCATCCACCCTTTTCTTACTTAAATATCTACACGAAAAAGAAGCCGCATGTCAGAAGTTAGCCTGCGGAAAATTATCGATTCATTAAGAAATAGCAAGTTCATTTCCTTTTACATAAAATCTGCTGATACATAGGCTTTGTTGGGCACATCTGAACTAGTTATGATCTTAGCAAGTATGCTAATTGGGAAATGAGTGCACAATGATAAATTTCCGGCCGCCAAGAAAAACATAACATGATTCTACAAAACATGCAGCACTCGGCTGCAAGTCCAAAGTTATTTTATTGTAACAATAGGTCGATTTTCTACGTTCGATCTCAAGCATAATAATAGACTAATCACGTTTCATATACAAATAAATAACAAAACCACCTCACCTGACAAACAAAGAGTATCAAATGAGTCAGCTAATCTTATTTAATCAATAGTTTTCAGATAAACCAAGACCGGACTTTTCTAGCAGGCAAAACAATAAACTGCTGAACTTCATTGGTAAACTCAAAGGGTTGATTTGCAACAATATCCTGGTTTTAAAAATGCAAGAAGTAGAGTTCCCTGGAATTACACAAATATGGGAAGAGCTTCAACTCACTAACCCAACAGAAAACTAGTGAATAATTAAACCTCAAAACCCCTTGAAAACTTATCTGAAATGTAATTAGATTTAAAATCCTATGGGAGATGCTCCTCAAGAACACTGCTGTAATCTATCTGTCGTTATTAATCGAGTGCAGATTATACAAACAACCTTTCCTTGCAAGAACATTATGCAATCAGCAAACCGTATAATCCCAAGTTACTCTCTTTCAGAAAACCATATAATTTGATTATTTTCCATTAGATTTTCCCTTTTTTTTAATGGCACTAATCAGCAATAACATAGCACTAAACAGCCGATGTAAAAAAAATTAAAAAATGAAGAACAAAAAAGTGAAAACAATCGTCTTTACTTGATGGGAGAGGTTGCACAAGAAGAAGAAGAAACTTGGAGAGGAAAGTGCCGTTTTCTTCCGGGATTTGATCGGAAAAAATTGTTGGGTGTGTTGAAAATGGTGTGGGAGACAAAATGGGGAGTGGGTATTGAAGGCCTTGAGGCGTTGTGGGCTGAAGCGTTGGGAACTGAAGCTTGCAAGAGCTTGGCACCCATGGCGATCACTGGTGCGATTTGATTTGTTTGGACTTGGTAACGTACGTTATGGGGATCCTCAAGCAAAAAGTGCTTAAATAAACGTTTTCTGCTGTGGCTTTGTGTTAACGGCTAAATTCACACGTGGGGACAAAAAAAATAAGTTGGTCACTAATTGGCCAAATTTGACTACATTATGGTAAGAAAATTGATATGCACATATTATATTTTTCTTTTTAAATGGTCTTTTTAATCATGTCCGTTATTTTTGTTTTATTTATTTAATCTGATGATAAAAAATAAAGATGTTTGAAGAAGAAAAAAAAAAAGTGTGTGATTAACTGTAATTTGCCGACTAAAATGTGAATTATGAATATTAAAAGGGTTGTTATTGACACTTTAGATCATCTCTAATGGTGCTGTCAAATTAAAATGTTAAATTTCATTTTTACAGGTGATGTGGCAAAACAACATTTTGTAAAGTCTACTATTCTGCCCAAGATGTCAAATAAAATATTTTTTTGGTTTTTTTAATAAGATCAAGTGGGTTGGATTTAATAAAATCGTCAATAATTGAAGAAAAATAAAGAAATATGTTGCCCCAGCATTAAAATAAAATAGAAAAAATTGACGTTGCATTCAAATTTGGCATCAAAGTGAAGAATGTCAATCCATGTAGAATTTTGACATCTGCTCTAGAATCAAAAAAGCACTTTTGTTTGTCAAAACAGTCCAAGTAAGACTTTTTGACATCTCATTTGAATATGCTCTTAAAAATTGAAGGTCTCGGGTTCGAAACCTGCTGCTGGTGTGAAAGCTAGAGTTGTGGCCAATAGGAGGCTAAAATGCCTCTGCGAGTCTTCCCGGCCCCTGGAAGGGGTGGATAACTTTGGCTTGCCAATAGTTGTCCCCTTTTTTTCCTTTTTTTTTTTTTTTTTTTTAAATGCTCTTAAAAATTTTATTTTGCACTCTTTTAAACAAATTTTCTTTTTCTATATATTATAATTGTGGAATGCATGACGATTTTTATGAAATGTCAATCAAATCTCTCTTGCTTATAACGATCAACTTTAATTATTAAAAAATTTGAAAGTGAATTAAAGGTTACTAATTGACAATTTATTTTGTTGGTACATGTGATTAAAGAAGGTGAGTGGAGATAAAAAAACTCAAGCACATATACCTTTTTCTCGAAGGAGAAGGTTTTTTTTATTTACGCACACTCATGCATACCATTTCAAAAAGTGGATTTCTTTCAACTACTTTTTTGGATATGTAGTCAATTGGAAACTTTCCAAATCAAGTAAATGACTTCCAAGTCTATTTTTTTTTTGGAAGAATGACTTCCAAGTCTTTAGCACGTTAAGATTTTACTTTGAAAGGGTCTTTTAACATGCTAATTATTATACAATTATATATACGGCAGTTGTTAGGAAAATCAGTGTCTAGGTGAGAGAAAACCACTTATGATGGTTTGAACACATGAAACGAAGATCTACATATACTCTACTGTAACTACGAGATGGAGGCTCATGGCAGAAGCAGTAGAGAAAGATCTAGAAAAACTTGGCAATAGACTTTAAAAAAAGATACGGAAAAGCGCAAAATTGAGCACAATAACCTTTTAAGATGTATACAACCAATCTTACTGAATAAAATAAAACTTAATTATTGTTATTATTTTTTTTTTTTGTTTATTAGGAAAATCACATGGTGTTCAAGTAATATTGTTTATTTAGGGTTGAACCCACTAATTAAGATTCCATGAAATAATTGATACATTGTGGCTTAAAGAAACAAATAGGAAAGGAAAATCTGAGGCTGTTCAAATTTTAAATCATTATAATTCAACTTGCCACCTAACCATTTGACACCTCGACAATTTCCAGAGCAGGTTCATATGATGCTGATCTGCTATACAATGAAAAATAAAGCACCAATAAAACAACAAATACAAAAATGAGTAATAACTCCCAGTAGAAATTGGTATGATTCAATTCAATACTTCATTCGTTCGACTGAATTTTAAATTTATTTCCTTCGTCCAAATGCAAAGTTATGTAACTAATTATTCAACTCCATAAATCTCCTAGCCTTTCGATAAACCTCCATCAAACAACCCTCGAACCTGGTCAAATCAAGTTTGACATCTTGTTCGTACAATTAGATGTCCATAAAGTCCCGTGGCCACCCATTTTTATCTAGAAAACTAGATTTTAATCTTTAATTAAATAAGACGAAGTTTAGAAAAATGTCTTATACAAGATTAAAATTTGATTTTAGTCCCTTGACTCTATTTAATACCAGCATATTAAATGTCTCTCTTTTTTTATTTATAATTTTATGGTGTTCATAAATTAAATTTTATGAAAATATTATAAATTTTAATTCTCATTATAGTATGTATCTTATATAAGAAAATATTTTCGTAAAGGTTTTTCGGTACACATGTTTTTGCATATTTTCTTATGTGCCAATAATTCATTACAATATATTTAGGTACGAACATTTCGGTACACTAGGTTAGTATAATATGTTTAGGTATGGACACTACGGAGTACACTAGTTATTATAATATATTTAGGTAACAACATTTCGGTACACTAGTTTAATATCATATATTTAGATACAGAATTTTTCGGTACACTTATTTTTTTGCATATTTTCTTATATGCTACTAATTCATAATAATATATTTAGATACGGACATTTTGGTACACTAATTTAGTAAAATATATTGTGATACGGACGTTTAGGTACACTTATTAGAGGAAGTAAAATAAATATAATGAATTAAAATGTGTATAATAATAAATAATTTTAATTTTAATGTAATGACATTAAATAAGATATCTATTAAATATTAAAACAAAAATATAATATAAATTTAAATTAAGTACACATTAGAGTACTAAAATCAATATCCAATCTAACACTAGGTTTTTATTGAATTTTAATCTTCTTCAAGGATTAAAGTTCAAAAACCCCTTTTATCTTTATTCAGAAGGGCAAATGGGGCCTTTAACAACAAACCCTCGTTGCCATAATTGTCCACCAAGCTACTCTCGTTCACTCCAATCCTATACTGATACTCAATATACTCAAAATTTAAATCCTTTGCCACCTTCCCGTAAAATGCATTCGCCGTCCAGTGTAACCCTATCGGAACCACCTGCACAAACACGGATCCCGGCCGGAGAAAAAATTGGTGAGTGAGTACATTCCCATGCACTCCGATAATTGCATGGCTTGCATTCAACAATGCATAAGCTTCATTCAATGGGTTTGTGGTGTTGGGCTCAAACACTTTCACATCAAATCCCACCTTCTTCATCAGCTCCATCACCTGGTCCAGGTTCGCGACCGTGCGTCCACGAGCCCCCTTGCGGTTAGCCCACACGAGTATCGGTTGAGGGTCAGTGGGGTTGGATGCGTAGATTTTGTGACGGGACGTTTCGGTATAAGCCTGGTCTATGAGAAGACGAAAATCCATGAACGTTTTTGGAGTGGATAGTAGTGTTTGGTTTATGGTCATGAAATCATGGGAGATGAGGCTTATGGTGGCCGAAGGAAAACAGTGGGTGGGTGTAAAACTTTTAGGGAAGATGATAAGGTGAGTTTTCAGTTATTTTAAAAATACTTTCACACGAGTCTTAAATTTTTAGTTTCAAAGTGTAAGTAAAGTTCACATATCAAAAGCTGAGTGAAGAAGGCACCCCAAAAAAAAAAAGGGTGCTTTAGATTTTGGCCCTTACAATTCATTATTTCTAGATAAAAACCTATCTATCTTTAAAGATCCAGTTTAAGCCCTAATTTAAAATTTGCAAACATATAGGAACACTATTGACCTATTAATGCAATTTATTTACACTCATACCACTCATACTTTATGGTCCATTTTTCAAATTCCTAAATTTATGCCAAATTAAAAGTAGTAGAAAAAGTGAAATAAAATGAAAAAAGTGTTTGCATTAACCGTATCTATGTTAAACTAGAAAAGTAGGTTTTTTTTTTTTTTTTTTCGTGATATATTTTGTAGCAATTTTATCCATATTAATTGGTAGGTAAATTAGTTTGTTCCAATTATTTAAAAAAAAAAAATACTACACCTATATTATATATTTTGAATCAAATAACATTCCTCTAACTTGTAGGTAAATTATTTTCTATGTATTGTTTTATATGTTAGACACGTTTTGTTGTTGTATAAACATGAGTGGAACATAATATTGTTGATTTTATACATCAAACTGCATTTCTTTTGTTATAGGTAAATTATTTTTCATGTACAAGTACTTATGTTAGGCAAGTTTAGTTGTTGGTACCTACACCCATGGTATAATTGGTGTAGGTAAATTATTGGAAATTAATTTGTAGTTAGGTAATGAACATTTTGCATCATTGGAAATGAACATTTCAAAGAGTAGGTAGGTAAATTAATTTGTTCTAATTATATAAAAAAAATTACACGACACCTAGTTATATTTAATTTTTCCAATTATTAAAAAATTTATGCTACACCCAACCAAATAACATTTCTCTACCTTGTAGGTAAATTATTTTCCATGTATTGTTAGATATGTTAGGCACGTTTTATTGTTTTATAAACATGGGTGTAACATAGTATTTTTAATTTTATGCATCGAACTACATTCCTTCTTAATATAGGTAAATTATTTTCCATGTAATTAGTACATATGTTAGGCACGTTTTGTTGTTGGTATATTATTTTGCATCATTGTAAAAAAGAGATATTATATTACACCCATGGTATAATTGTTGTAGGTAAATTAATGTGCATGTAGATAATGAAATACAATGTTCTAATATATTAATAAAAACGGATAAATTCAAAAGTATTCAAGAGTAGGGTGAAAAAACTAAATCGAATAGTTTTATGAAAATTCAAAACCTTTCTAAAAAATTAATATGCAATAAATTTTTAACATTAATGTCTTTTTTTTTTTCTTGTTGCAAAATCATTTACTATTTCCTTACAATTAATTGTCTACATCAAGTATGTAATAGGGGTATTTTAGGCAT